CTTTCCTCTCAGTCATGTACAAACAGAATATTCATTTTTTCACCTGTGTAGGCAAAAAAAAAAAAAAAAAATCAGCTTTTTTTTCTTGGAACAAAAGATATAGGGGTTTTGTACCTTATTTTCCAGAGATGATCAGGATCCTCAGCATATGTGCATCTGCATGAGTGTAAGACAAAGTGGGAGAAGACTGCAGTCACACATGTTGCAGTGATACTAAGAGGCATGGTGCTCGATACGCTGTGGGTAGGGATAAATTTAAAATCTCTTTGCCTGGGTCACTGTCTTGTTACCAGCCCTTGGAAAGGGACTGCACATCAGGTTATGAGCCATAGTGCCTGAAAATCCTATGACTTGCTGTTGGAATCATTTAAAATGAGGGAACAGTGAGGCAGAAGGCAAATCTCCAGCTTTCAGAGTCTCAGAGCTTTTTAGATAGCCAAAGAGCATACATAAAGTTTGCTACTCAGTATTCTGGACAACGCTGGAACTGACGGAGCATGTGAAGTGTTGGCAGGGCAAGATGCGGTTTCAGTACTGGAGATGTGCATTACTCCCCATGGATTATTTTTGGACAGGTGAAAGAAATTTTTTCTGATTACAAAATGGGGCATGTGTGTGATGCAAGGGCTGTGGGTACTGATGTAAGCTGCCATGGAGCCCCCCTGGGCCTGCAGGCAGGGACCTGCTGGGGACAGGGCTTGGGACAAGGCTTCTCTGTGTGCACTTGGTCAGAGCTTTGTCTTTTAATCAGGTTCTGGAATCATCCCCAGAACATCCTAGTACAATAAAACAAAAACAAAAACAAACCCCTCAAAACCAAAGAAAAATATAATAGTATCCAGGAGAATAAATTCATTTTAAAATTCAGATGAAGCCTGGGAGAGGAGTGGCTCCCATAGTCCCTAGGCCAGGAGAACAGTTTGCTCACTGCCCATGCCAGTAACTGGAAAAAGTCTCACTAAACTTAAAAAACATTTTTGTGCAATGGTGGTAGTTTTCCTGTTACCAGAAAAAGTTATTTCCCTTCATTTATGTCCCATCTGACTGCATCCCTGAAAGCTCATCCTCTCGCTTAACCTTCACTTCAGCTCCTAATGAGTGTAAAGTAGGTTTGACCATCTGTATGTTCCTCCAATCAAATGCTCTTTTCATAATAAGTTATACAGTAACGCTCTCAGGGGTGGGAAGTCTGGCACAGTAACAGTTTATTCCAATGCAGTAATTCTTTTGATAGAGCAAACCTGCACCAAGAGAGCAGAGAGGGACAGTGCAGCCTTCACCCGTGACTCTACAGCAGGCTCATTTCTGTCATTTATGGCAACAGGGACTTTTGCCGTAATGTTGTTCAAGGCAATTTCTCAGGCTGCTCACAATGGAAGTCTTCAAGTAACCCTGGAAAAAGATGACAATATGACTATTTCTTGGGATTTACCATGCTGTGTATAACACTGCAGGGACAGAGGGAAGTGAGAATTAAACATGGAGAGAGGTGTGTGTTCCTGAATTATCAGCAAGGAGGTTCTGACAGAGAAGGGACCTGCCCTGCCACATGGCAACACAAGAGGGAAGAGCTCTAGTCAGTTAGACTGAGACTGGAAATGTAGAAAATTCCTGTTTTTTTCCCTTATCAAAGCGGAAAGCCTTCAGCCCTGTCAAAGCTGTGCCTCCTGATCTTAGGCACTGACCCAACTCAGCCACGCCTGGCACCTCATTTTTCTCCAGTACACACTTTGGCAACAAAGGTATACTCTCCAAGGAAGCTGCAACCATGGTAAAAGCCTGGGAACAAGCACTGAAGTCAAATGAGTGTGATTTCAGGCCACACTTTTGCTTTTAGAGTCACTGGAGCAGCTGATTACCCTCCCACAAGCTTTCAGCTCAGCTGCCCCAGGACCCTCCTCCATCACCCTCGCATGGCTTCACCCCTCTTTGCTTCTGTGGTCAGGCCGCAAAGGTGCTGGTTTCAATTTTTCCTCTCAGTGGCCTTTCATGAAATTATATTTATAGTCCTGTGTCCATTCACATCATCTTTATTCTCTAACAATAAACTTAACAATACCTTTGCAAGCCTTTGTTATTTGCTGAATGCTGTGGGATGTTGTGTTTCTGAGCTAACAAGCACTTCAAAGAGCCTATGAATTGTCTCTTGGGCATGTTATCTTGCTATTAGCTGTAAATAAGGATACAGATAATGTTTTACATCTGTACCACTAAGAAGCAACAAATTAGACTTCCCCAGCCTCTTCCCATAGCTCACAAATCTTTGTTAACTCCAGGAAAAACAGAATAAAAAAATCTTTGTTCGTAAAGATACAGACAAAACTCTGCAATTCATATGCTTGTGATTTTTAACAAGATCTGGTTGAAATTCAATATTCCTTTGCCTGGGAAAGCTGCACAATATTGCTACTTGTTTTCACAGCAAAATGAAAAGAAAGCCCAAAGCATCAAAGTTTCCTTCACATAACAAGATAAAAAGCAATTAATTTCAGATCAGCCATTTAGAACATTTTGTTACAGTGAAACAGATTTTCTCTTTTCAGTAAGGTGCAAAGCAAAATAAAACACTTCAGAATGAAAAGCCACTTAAGAATAAAAAAATCCCAAAATGTTGCTTTTCAGTGCAACTGAAACATTTATTTTCAATGCATTTGCAAAATAACATAAGCAGTTTCTAGGTACCCTCTGTAAAGTTTTGTTTCACAGGCTCAGCTTTCAGCTGCCTCCTCCCCACCCAAAAGCCTGGCAGACTTCTTCCACAGGCAAACCAGAGAGCAAAGGCAGGTTGCAAAGAGTTGAAGACACTCAAACAAATAATGCTTCAGTTCTTGCTTGCCAGAGCCAGAGAGCTTTTGATCAACTTCCAAAAGGCAGGAGAGCAAATGCTTGTTAGAATTTTACTTTCATATTGACAAAACTCTAGCATTTTGGCTTTTCTAAAGCAATGATTTGGTAGATGAGGTTTTGGGGCTGAAAAACACAGCCTAGTTTTGGAGAAAGGGGCTTTCCAGAGACACAGACTGTGCTGAATGGTATGGTGAGCTGGTGGGACAGACAGACTGTTCCGGCTCCCTGCTGTCCTCCAGCCACTTGCCCTACCAAGAGGCTAATGTTTTACAGGCCTCTTGGCAAAAATGTGCATCCCACTCAGTATAATGTTTTCAGAAGTGATATTTTCAAAAGTTTGAAATCCCATCTGAGCAGTCCAAAATCAGGTTTAAACACCATGGATAGCTTTTGGAGACCCATAGGGGCTAACATCATCTTAGTGCCTGACATCCAGCTTCTTCCATAACTTCTTCATCTAACCCATAACATGTCTTGCTTAGTTTGGCAAGGAGTTCATTTCGGCTAAATTGATACCTCAAGATTAATCTGCTATCAAAGAACCCCTGTTGGAGTTTTGCACTAAATTAAATTGCTTTTTGAAACTGATTTTTCTTAAAATAGGGCCACTTCCCACATGCACCAAATTTCCATGGCTACAAACATGTGATAACCTGCCCAGAGACTTCCAAAGCCTCCAACAGTAACTGGCTGATATAACCCCTAAAGCAGGACAGTTTCTACACAAATGCTGTGTAAGGGGAAGTACTCTTTCCTGCACACACTGGAGGTTTGTTTTGAGAACGTCTCCCTCCTGCACGGCTTTGAGTGAAAGGTGTCCCTGCCCATGGCAGGGGATTGGACCTAGATGATCTTTGAGGTCCCTTCCAATGCAAATCATTCTAGTGTTCTATGATCAGCTCTCTAGTCATCAGAAAACACCCCACAAGCAGTTTTTCACCTTTTTCTTTCACACTTGATTTTTCCCCCTAAGTTTTTCCAGACTAGGAGCAGTGTTATCATCTGACACTGATGGAAAAGATCTTGAGAATACACTGCCAACTCACCTGCTTGCTGGCATAAGGAAAGGAATGCAATCCATGGATACACTGTTTTTTCAATGAATTCATATTTGTCCATCTCTGAATATATTAACCAGTGGTAACGTTGACATGACTCAAGCTCTCCGCTTACAGCAACTGATTTGTTTTGTTGGAAGCCACCACCAGGATGGAGAGCGGATGTGTCCACAGCCAAAGCAGACATTGGTGCCTGCGAATACCTAATGGTGGAGAGAGATTTTTTTTTTTTAATCAAAAGACCATTGAAATAGCTTGAATAGACCCATTATTGCCTGGGGAAGGGGCATGGAGGGGGAGGTGGTGCTTGGGGTAAAGCTCTGCAAAACACAGCAAGTGCCGGCTCTCCTGGTTTCTCCTGTGAAGGCAGATGTGGTTCAGCACAGTTTATCAGCACCTTGTACAGTCAGGCACCATCCTGCAGTGCTGCACACTATGGACAGAGCACAAAAGTTGCTATCTCAACTCATAGGCCCCAGTGATGTGTAGGGTGGTATCTGCTATAATGGTGACTGATGGAAGCAAATTAAATTTCCATGCAATAATCATAGCTTTCTTAACTATTACCTTCCTACCACAAAGTGTTTCCCTGACATACTGGGCAAACTTTGCTGTGCTGATTTTACTTCTTTCCAGTTTTCACTGTCAAATTTCAGCTGCTCTTCCCTCTGGCTCCGCAATTTTCCTTTCTCATTACCTGCGGGAGATCTATTTTGTTTTATTAATTGAGAGTGTAGTTCTTTGTTGATTTTAAGAAGCTCCCCATGAGCCTGCAGTGTGCGCTTGCAGCCCAGAAACCAACCATGTCCTGGGCTGCATCAAAAGAAGCATGACCAGCAGGATGATGGAGTTGATTCTGCCCCTCCACTCTGCTCTGGTGAGATACCACCTAGAACACTTTGCCCAGCTGTGGGGCAACAACATGAGAAGGACGTGCACCTGCTGAAGCAAGTCCAAAGGGGCCACAAAAATGCTCCAGGGCCTGGGGCACCTTTCCCATGAAGACAGGCTGAGAAAGTTGGGGTTGTTCAACCTGGAGAAGAGAAGGCTCCAGGGAGACCTTATGTCATAGTTTAATCTCAGCTGGAAACTCGAGAACTATGCAACCGCTTGCTCAGTCCCACCTTTTTCTCCCCCCCTCTTCCACAGGGATGTGGAGGAGAATTGAAAGAATGTAAATCTCATGGGTTGAAATAAGACCAGTCCAGTAACTAAGGTATAGTAATACAAACCCACTACTACTAATAATAATGATAAGGTAAAAAACAAAGGGATACAATATAAAACTAAAAAGCAAAAGGGAAAAAGGAAAACAAAAAACCTTCAAAACAAACACAAGTGATGCACAATCACAAAGATGTTGAACAAGACCGGTCCCAACACTGATCCCTGAGGGACACCACTCGTTACTGGTCTCCAGCTGGACACTGAGCCATTGACCACAACTCTTTACGTGCGACCATCCAGCCAGTTCTTTATCCACAGAGTGGTCCATCCATCAAATTGATGTTTCTCCAATTTAGAGACAAGGATGTCATGCGTGACAGTGTTGAATGCTTTGCACAAGTCCAGGTAGATGACATCAACTGCTCTACCCCTGTCCATCAGTTCCGTAGCCCCATCTTAGAAGGCCATCAAACTGCTCAGGCAGGATTTCCCTCTTGTTGTCTTTATTAAAATGATTTATTTAAGTATGTCTGTATTTTTAGACAGTCTTATATGCTGCTGAGTGATGTGGAAATATGTAATGTAATTTCCAAGCAGAGCTTATTCATGTTGAAAATTATAAGTAGGACAATACTTGTATCAACCAGTTTCTCAATGGCATTTAATAATAAAGGCCATTACTTCCATCTGGGGAACCTTAAAAGATCTTAAGTATGCAGTGAGATTGAGTGCACCATCAGCAAGTTTGCCAATGACACCAAGCTGTGTGGTTCGGTTGATACGCTGGAGGGAAGGGAATGCCATCCAGAGGGACCTCGACATGCTTGTGAGGTGGGCTGATGCCAACCTCATGAAGTTTAACCATGCCAAGTGCAAGGTCCTACACCTGGGTTGGAGCAACCCCAGGCACAGCTACAGGTTGGGCAGAGAAGAGATTCAGAGCAGCCCTGCGGAGAAGGACCTGGGGGTGTTGGTCAATGAGAAACTCAACATGAGGCGGCAGTGTGTGCTCGCAGCCCAGAAAGCCAACCGTATCCTGGGCTGCATCAAAAGGAGCGTGACCAGCAGGTCGAAGGAGGTGATCCTGCCCCTTTACTCTGCTCCTGTGAGACCTCACCTGGAGTATTGTGTGCAGTTCTGGTGTCCTCAACATAAAAAGGACATGGAACTGTTGAAACAAGTCCAGAGGAGGGCCACGAGGGTGATCAGGGGACTGAAGCACCTCCCGTATGAAGACAGGCTGAGGAAGTTGGGGCTGTTCAGCCTGGAGAAGAGAAGGCCACGTAGAGACCTCATAGCAGCCTTCCAGTATCTGAAGGGTGGCTACGGGGATGCTGGGGAGGGACTATTCAATAGGGACTGTAGTGACATGACAAAGGGTAACAGGTAAAAACTTAAACAGAGGAAGTTTAGTTTGGATATAAGGCAGATATTCTTTACTGTAAGGGTGGTGAGGCACTGGAATGGGTTGCCCAGGGAAGCTGTGAATGCTCCATCCCTGGCGGTGTTCAAGGCCAGGTTGGACAGAGCCTTGGGTGAGATGGTTTAGTGTGAGGTGTCCCTGCCCATGGCAGGGGGCTTAGAACTGGATGATCTTAAGGTCCTTTCCAACCCTGACTATTCTCTGATTCTATAATTCTATGACAATACAATTGCTCACCACTCACCCACTGATACCCAACCCAAACCGAGCAGCGATTGTCACCTCTCAGCCAATTTCTTCCTGTGTGCTGTGGTATGGAATGCCCTTTTGGCTAGTTTGGGTCAGGTGTCCTGCTTCCTCCTGGATTCCCGTGCCCTTCCTCACTGCCAGAGCATGAGACTGAAAAATCCTTGTTCAGGGTAAGTGCTACTTAGCAACAGCTAAAACATCGGTGTGTTATCAGCATTGTTGTCAGACTAAAGCCAAAACACAGCACTGCACCAGCTACTAGGAAGAAAATTAACTGTTACAGCTGAATCCAGGACACCTTATAGCAGTCTTACAATAACTAAAGGGGTGAAAAAGAAAGCTGTAGGGGGACATTTTACAAAGGCATGTAGAGACAGGGCAAGGGAGAATGGCTGAGAGAGGGTAGATTTAGACTAGGTATAAGGAAGGAATTCTTCCCTGTGAGGGTGGTGAGACACTGGAACATGTTGCCCAGAGAAGCTGTGGTGCCCCATCCCTGGCAGCATTCAAGGCCAGGTTGAATGGGGTTTGACGCAGCCTGGTCTAGTGGAAGGTTTTCCTGCCCATGACAGGGGTTGGAATGAGATGGTCCCTTCCAACCCAAACCATTCTATGATTCTTTTAGGCATGTAATGAGCTAGGCAGTAGCTCTGCCTCCTCTCAAACACCAGCTTAAAGTAACTGGCTTCTTCTCACTGGATATTTGCTAAAGGAGACTCACCCCCCGCCACTGAGCCCTAAGGTACTCCTCCTGCCCCCTGCTGCTGTGCAGCACTTAAGACAAGTGTCCATTTATTTACTCCAGCTGTGCAATATGCAATTAAGAACAAGACTAAGTGATGCATTTTCAATCCCTCTTCTTTAAATCCTGCCTCTCCTTTTCTGTCCGTGGTAATTGGTCTTATCTGCTACTTATTTTCTGGCTCATACAAGACAACAGTCAGAAAGGTTACCTGTTCTTTCACTCTCTTCACATACTCAGGAATGTTTCTAGGAAAAGCAAGCTAAGGCGTTGCATATCTGCATGCGGTAAGAAAAAGAAGGATTTTTCTTCACAGAAATATGTTCTGTGAAGTTATTGCACAGTGTGAGAATATTGTGGCACTGGGTTTTCAAGTGTGGCAGCTGAAAACATATTTTTTGTATCCTTGGGAAAAGCAAAACCAGCTCTTGCTGTGAGCCTGTACTTGCTGGATGTGTTAGAGCAGGAGGGACTGGGCAGAAGCTCCTGTTATTTTAACATGTCCAAATAGGCTTCTTACACAGGGATGTCATGGAGCATCTCAGAGAAGCAGGAGTCAGGATAAGGACATGAATAACTTTAAGTACTTAAGGTACTGTGTTGTCAAAATTTGAAGACAAGGGTGTAACTACTTTCTGTGTCTTTTGTTTCTTTGTCATCTCCCCTATGTCCCCTTTGTTAAAAACACTAAGTTAAAGATCCCTGAAAGGTCAAGGGCAAATATACCCACAGCAAATGTTAAAGCGTCAGACAGGGGTTGAGTTGGTTTGGGATCTGGTGGAGGTGCTGTGCTCACTCCAGCCTCAGCAGCCTGTGCAGGGGAGGCAAACTGTCCCACAGGTTACTGCTTCTCACTGCCTCCTGCATCTTGGTCTGCAAGCCAAAACAGCAGGAGCTGCCCCAGGGAAGCTGATGTTTATTAATGCACAGTTTTTGCGCAGATCTCCTGCAGAAGGCACCTGTCCTTCATGTCAGGCAGAAGAGAGATCCTTTTCTAAACTTAGACACAAACTTCAGCAACCTTAATGCTTCAGGAATCTCACACTCCTGCACATCCATCAGCTGTGCAAGGATGTGCCAGTGGGCAGGTTGTGCTCTCCCTAGTATTCACCTAGAGGTGTTCACAAGCATTTAGGCAGAATTATTATTGAATTAAATGAACACCAAAGGGGATTCTAAGCAGACCGGGTGCATTAGAGCGATAAAACTGATTGGGTGTGCCAGGGCTGGTGTGATTGGAATGACTCTGAGGAGAGCAGTAAAAAGATGGACAGGTCGGCCCTTGTTCTGCCTCCTCTGAGCATCCCTTCCCCTGCTGGTGAAAAAGCCAAGGAAAAGAGAAGCAAAGACTGTTCTAAGCTCATGAACTGAGGGTCTTGCCTTTATGGGGTGTTAGCCACAGCAAGGGCCATGCCCAGATCTTGTGCTGACATTCAGACTGCAGACTTCCCACAGCGCTCTGCCTGAGCAGCTACTTCCAAGGGCTGGGCTGAACTGGTAGGGATACAGCAGTGGGCACCTGCTGGGAATACTGTTAAATGCCTTTCCCAGTATTTCAGGAGAGTGCTGCTGCAACAAATTGAAATCTCAGCCAGCAGCTTCCCTGGGGCTGTTCTGTGTGGCAGCAGGGATGGCTGGGTGCTGCAAAGAACCTGGCAGGCTTTGGTACACTGCAGGCACATGTTTACTGGGCAGGCCAGCAAGGCTGCAGCCACCAAGCACACTACCAGTGAGGGCAGTGGGATGGGATACTGCTTGAGTGTTCCTGCTTGTCCCTGGAGCAGAAAGGCACCTTGCATGGAGGATATCTGGTCCTCTGTGGTTGGTATCATGTAGAGTATTAGCTGGTGTTCAAGTCTCATTGTAAGCAAGCAAATCCACTGAATAACAAAGGGATTAATATTTGGAAAGGGCAAGCCTGAGTAAAAGACAATATGTGGTTTGTGTAGTCTGCTTGGGCTAATAAACCCAAGGGTAGGATCTCAGCAGGTCACAGTGACATGCTCACACGCAGCAGAGCCTATGCTTGTAAAGGGCAGCTTGCCCTGCTCGCTCCAGGGCCTGGCAGAGGGGCAGGCTGCTGCTGGAAGTATTTTCATACAAGAGGAATTATGGATTGCGCACAGCAACAGACTCTTTCTAGTTCTTGTATTCTTTCGTCTATGTCTCTTACAATGGGACTGTATGATCTTAAAGGTCTTTCCCAGCCTAAATGATTCTAGTCTTAAGTTAGTGGGAAGTATATTTTATTGTATGCATCTGAAGCTGGTGGAAACTGACTTTCATAATGGTGCTAAGCATGAGCACAGAGAGATAGAAGCTACTTTTTATATTGCCACATTAGAAAAGCTGAAACTGAAATATTTGTGATAGTGATATCACACTTAATAGGCCATGCCTCATGGTTTGGGCAGCCCAGAGAGGGTGTGCAATCTCCATCTTGGGGGAAGTTTGAAACCTGACTGGATGCACTGAGCAATGTGTTCTGGGTGACCTGATAGAGCACGGGTGTTAGACAAGATGATCCAAGAGGTGCCTTCCCACCTCACCAAGTCAGTGACATTACAAATGATGAGGTTTCAGAAGCTTTGGCATATTTTTGTATTTCTTAAGATCCTTCATATTGTCTGAGAGAAAATGAGACTCTCTATGGATCAGTCCCCCGTTCCCTCTGGTGAATGGCTGTGGTGGGCTTTTTGCCTGGTGGCAGCTCTGAGAACAGCTGCAGCACCTCTTCAAAACACAATCCCTGAGCTCCAGCAGCAAACTGAAAATTGATGAAAAACCCTAAAGTGAGACAGAAGAGTTAAACAAACAAAACCACAAAAAGTATCCCACCAAAATCCCTTTGCAGACTGGTCCTTTTTTTCCAGGCTTTAGTCACTCTGTATTTACTCTCTGGCTTTTTCAGTTTCCTACAACCTCCTGTTCTCCTGAATAAGTGATATCTCCATCCCCAAAATGCGTCCTGCCGTTCCCTTTGATGAGACACGATCAGCTTGATAAGCCCATTTCTGCTGTGGGTTTGATTCAGCTGTCTACAAAAAAACTTGGGTTCTTGGAAGAGGTCAAAACTGGAGTGCATTCCTTTCTGGCTGGGTTTATATCTTTGCATACAGACTGCACTGAAACTACTTCATTAATCTCTTTTCTCTCACACACCCACAGCTCACAGGCAGGTGCTGAGGGAAAGTGCTTGCTGCAGGAGACCTACAGAGACAGGGGAAAGAGGCAAAAAGGACTTCCCTTCTGAAGCAGCAGTAGCTGCAAAAATCAGACTATCCTGTGTAAAGGTTTATCTGATTTGAAAAGAAAAAAATATCTTGAGAAAATAAATGCATTACAGACTAAAATTTGACATTAAGGAAGACTGACCTCTGGTTCTTTAGAGGAAAGTTTAACTATTTGTCTCTGTCTTACTTTAATACTGCTTTTAAATCACCTACTTTGAAAATAGATTCATATATTTCAGTTTATCTACAGTGTAGGGAACTGATGAAAAAATTCTTTGCTGAAGGAATGTCTGTCATTAACGTGTGGTACGAAAAGGTTTGATTGATTTGTTCTAGTGTCTGTTTTAACACATCAAACTACAGTGTTTTACGGTCTAATCTGTCATTTCTTAGAAGAAAACCATCAGCTGATGATTTTAATCACTCATTCATTGCCTCAGTTGGCTGGTCATGAAAACTATATCTTTCATAGGAACTGGCTTTGAGTAATGTGGGATTGCACTTTGTTTCCTTTAAGTTAAACCATAGCATTTTCCTTGGTGTCGTCGGGAGGGTGTTCCTCTGTTGTAGCACCTCTCAAGCGATTCCCTTTATAGCTGAAGAAAAAGCAGATACCTTTTTTACCTACTCCGGTATATTTCCTGAGGGATTCAGCAGCTGTATAAAATTGCAAGATCTTCCAACTGTAAGATCTTGATTGGCCCTTCCTCCTCCTATTGGGCTCTTGCTCAGCAGGAGGGGAAGGAGAGGAAAATCAGCCTTGGCCAAATGCTAAATGGTGCATGTGAACCTCCTCACATGTGCTTGTGTTCATGTGCTGTGTTCAGCAGATTCAGGCCAGGGGCTCTCTGCCAGGGTGCTGGGAGTCTGCAAGGGACCATGCTGAGGACCTGAAGGCCTTGCAGTGTTCAGGGGCTGGAGATGCATGTGCTAATGAAAACTGAGGCCATACTTAGAATCCCTTAAATGCAAAATACCTGTTAAAGCCAACAGTAAAAATAAGGCAAGAGGAAGAAAGGAGTTATTCCTCTTAGAAAATGATTTCTGTTCTTTGTTTAATTGCTTATCATAGAATCATAAAATGGTTGGGAAGTACCTCAAAGATCATCTGCTTCTAACCCACTCCCAGAGGCAGGGACACCTTCCGCTAGACCAAGTTGCTCCAAGCCCTGTCCAACCTGGTCTTGAACCCTACCAGGGATGGGGCAGCCCCAACTTCTTCGGGTAACCTGCGCCAGTACCTCACCACCCTCACAGGGAAGAATTTTTTTCCTTATATCTAATGTAAATCTCCCTATTTAATCTCTAATATTAGTCATTCACCTTCCATTTGCATCTTTAATGTATTCTGCCATGTATAGTGCTGTAGACTTCTGAAAATGTCTGTGAAATTAGAGTATGATTTGAATGGAACATAAAAACTAATTTTATTTAGTCATATTATCTTCAAACTGAAGCCCAGTGTCCAGGTTGTATCCTGTTGCTATTTATTTCTTGAACTGTCAATGTGTCTTGGAGCCTAAATCCTCACTGTGTGAAGTGCTTATGGAAAAGGGTCCCCTCTGCCCTGTCTCCTCATCTCCTCCTCCAAGGCGATGGTTTTTTTTTCTCTTATGCAGCTTATGTATGTTTTATGGACAAGGCAGGTATCACATTAGGTGGACTCAGGATTAATCCAGTGAGAAAAGAGATGCAGGGATGCACCCCAAAACATGATCAAAGCCCAGTCCTGGCATGCCCTCCTGGACAGCTCTAGCACAGATTGCCTGCTGTGGTCCCTCTCCAGGAGCAGTGGTGTGCAACTGGCTCAAGCAGTGTGCTGTGAGCAAGCCACCTCCACTCATCTGCACAGCACCCTTCAGCCATATGGTGACATTTGCATCTTCATCCATCGCTCAGTATAACGAAAATACAGGCATTTGTTTTGCTGCACCACTTGTCTTCCAAGAATGTCTTGACATTTATGTACCACCAAGAGACATTATGTTATATCAGGTTTTTATTCTTCTGGCATTATCTACCCTAATTAAGGCTTTCGCTACCTGCTTCAGCCATCTAGCAAAAGTAAAAATGAGGTTTTTTTAATTTCTGAGTCTTTTGAAGTTATAACAAAGGAAGCAGTTGATGACAGGAGGATGGGCTCTGCATCCCTGCAGCCTGTCTTGAAAGCTGATCCTGCAGTGCCCTGCAGTAAAGCTCTCCATGGCATGTTCAGAGCAAGCCTGTGTCCTCAGGTGACTGGCACCAAGGGTGTGTCCAGCAGTGCCAGTACTGGAAACACTATCCCTTAGCACTGCATCTCTATTGTAGATCAGCTACTATAAAACAAAGGAATTGTGTTCGTATGACTGTTCATATGATACTTTGGAAAGCTAACAATGGCTAGGCTTAAGTCAGCCTGAGCAATTGGAAAAGCACTCACCATGCAGGTGACTGCAGGCAGTATCCATGGGTGCATAATACATCTTATTGTCCTCATCTCCCTTTCCTGGAGTGTAGCCTGGGTGGGCAGTGGGGCGGGTAACAAATGGGGCAGCTCTGTGGAAATACTCCAGGCTCTTGTATGATACAAGTGTCTCAGCACCTCCTGTAGATGACCCAGTTGTCATCTGGTGCCATTTGCTCACCTTCAGCTTCTGCCAAGTGCTGCATGTCATGTCCTCTCTTCTAACCTTCCTGACGTGCACCAGGTCTGGTCCAAACACACGTAAGGCCACATGCAGGATGTAAATACATAGTTTGCTACTGAACAGCTGTAGTTTCCTACTTTTGTTCATGGAGGAAAATGTAATGGTTTGGAAAAAATGAACTACATATGAGGAAGAGAAATTATCTACAGCTTTTACAGGTTTTATCAGGCTGCAAGGCAAGAACATTTTTCTTCCTCTATGCAAATGGAAGCAGCTTCCTATAGCATTTATGGAAGCATCTTTTATATGGGTACATATATCAACTACATATAATACAATTCCTGGACTCTTAGATATGCTGTAAGGGTCATCATCAGGATTTAAGCACAGTGAGCCAGAGCAGGTAGAGGGTTCAACAGATGATTAATCCTTCTTGCTTGACTAGCAAGGTTCTAACCCTGAAGGCTCTAACTCAGACAAAGGGACAAGAACCTTGAGGGTGTCCACCCATTGCATCTCCCCCAGGCATGGGTGAGCAGTTCTATGACCCAGTCATAGCTTTGCGTCTGTTCAGCCACTTCTTGCAGAAGACTTTCATCAAAACTGGAGATGTTTTTTTCTGCTATTTCTTTTTTGAGATTGTTTGGCATATTAAGCACTCCTGTATTTAATGACAGGGCTTTTCCCCAGTGTGGGGCCAGATGTCCCACCTGCCATTAAATCTCTGAAATGTCAAAGTAAAACCAGAAATATCTTAAAATCACAACTTGGTTAAGGAAAAGAAGGGATTTTTCTTTTCCTTAAAAATGTTTGAAGAAAGACTTAATTAGAAATGGAGCCAGGTCAGTCTGACAGTCTATGCCAGTGGAAAATGAATTCAATAATAACCTGAGAAATGATCACTCCTTGGCACAGCTACTCTGCTCCCACCACAGCTAGTGCACTTGCCTGTACCTTGGCTGGAGGGAACTCCTGAGACCAGTGCTGGCAAAGACAAGCAGACAGGTAAATTGCTGCTCCAGATGGAGGTTGGCTGGATGTCAGAAAGGTTTGTTATTGTGGAACATAAAGAACTATCCTTATCTTTAGTGGGAGACTTGTTCACTGCTGTGTGTCAGGGGGAAATACATATTTGGGGAATTAATGATTGTCTCTGTCTGTAGCCTCTAAGGCAGATACCTTCATGTTTTAATTGTTACTACTGAAATCGTCCTGTCTTTGTAGTCTCTATGCTCTCTCTTATTAGCAGAATTGGTAATTGTATTTTAAAATAATTATAACATTTCCTCTGTTGAGCTTAGCTCATTTAGCCATTGAGCAAAGGTTAGAGGGGATATCTTTTAATAAACATGTTGGGTGGTAAATGCTGAAGAGAGGAAAGAGCTCTTTGAGTTGAAGGATAATATCTGCTGAGGATCAAATGGCTACATATTGCTCATGAATAAATTCATATGGTAAATTAGAAGACAATTTCTGATTATCTGAAAAGACAAGTTCTGAAAAACCCATTTGGTCAGGAAAATGGGGAACCTGGACTTGTTTCAAGATGGAGCTTCATGTCCTCACATGAGGGGCAGAATAGGTGAAGGAGGAATTGCTGGAGAAAAGGGGTGAGTTTTGTTTTGTGACACCTGTGAGGGTGCAAGAAATTAAACCCGAAGTGTTTTTGAAGAGACACTGGATTCCTCTGCTAATACCGTGCTTGTACTGCCATTGCCTAGTGTTTCAGCTGTCTTGGGTGACAGTAAGAACACATCTCCTTTTTCTCCCTCAGCACTGGTGACTGGTGACCCAGAGTGGTGGTGACACTCATAGTTGCTGCTGGGGCATTCACTTCAGAAGGAGTCTCAGTGCACATCCTCCTTCCTTCTCTGCTTAAACTCATCACCAGAACTCGGTCTAGATGGAAGAGATAACTGAGGGCTTCTCATGTCTGCTCTGGTGCCATGATCCTCTCCTGCCTTGTTGATCCATCCAGGTGAGGGGTCTTTCATTATTTTTTTGCAATAGCACATCAATTTGCAGTTACAGGAGACCCACTGGTGTGAGCAATGTCCCTGATTTCTCTTGCTCTCTTCCTGTGGGTGGACCTCAGCTTATTACTGTGGATTTCGGGTTTCTTGCAAGCTAGGATGCTCTGTGACTCGCAGCATATCCTGGCAGATGGGTGGATGTCCCGGCTCCCTCTATACTTGACACTTGCTGCCTGGCACCTTCTGATCACGGCAGCCCCTTGAGCTTTGCATTCCTATATGTCCTATATGTACTGCATACTACTACCCACTGCCCTGCAAATAGCTCTGGAAAACCAGGGGCGCTGCTTTGTAAGGTTCTTAGTCCAGGGTGAGTTTTTACAATGTATGTATTACCAT